AAGTTACTCTTTAAACAGATGACTTGAGATCGGTGTCTTCATCGAGCCTTCACCTCACTGATGAAAGTCAGGAGGGTTCTCTTAGAAAAACAGATACGTGTCTGACTCAGTACCAGTTACTGAAAAGACCTGGATCAGATTAGAAAAAATGAATTTGTCACGTTCAGAGTGTCATATTTAAATATCTGCCTGCAGCCGTACAGACCTGAAGCACCTCATCACTGTTGTGAGCAGACAGCAGCTGTGAAATACAGATTATTCACCACAACGTGTGAAAAGGATGTGTTCAGTTCTGAGCCTCAGCAGGGGTGTGGTGCACAGTGTGGGCAGGAGGTGTTCAACCAGCCCTCTTCAGAGCCCGTGACACCACRTTTTCTAATAAACATGAATGCATTTTTGGAAAGTCAAACATTGACAACATATTTTAAAAAAAGATTTCATGCAGCTGAGATGAACAGTTGTTGAGGTATTTGCATGTGGAGTAACAGGAAGTGATGTCACAGGSGAATGGCAGAAAGTAAACAGAGCGTTGCTACAAAGACCGACGACACAGACTGTAGAGAAGAATCTGTTTCTTCAGATTATTTTAATTACTATAATAAAGACATGAGGAAGAGTCAGAGTTCAAATAATATGGTTTTAATAAACAAAAAACAGTTTTATCGCTTAAAGAGTTCCCCTCTGATGTCACTTCCTGTTTCATGTTGTCTGAGCAAAGCTCAGAAGAAAATATGCCAGTTATGGAACATAATGGGTAACAGGGAGTGACAGACACATTAGTGTTAGTTACCATGGTGACAACAAGGCACAGTAGTGTTTGTTTCAGTTAATGTGGACACGTCTTTGTTTGTTTTTCTTCAGATTATTCCAGACCTTTTCTGCTTCATTAAACTGTCAGTGCTCGTAACGCTTTTGCATAAAAACACAACAGTTTCCCTCACGGCGTCTTCCCCCCGCCTCCTTAAACTAATCCTGTCGGACACCAGGACCACAGAAACCACCTGGTGGTCTCAGGACGTCCCTCAGAACTCAACCCGGGTCAGGTTCTCCTTTTCTTACTTGTCGTTTCAGCTTAAAATAAGCCGTTGTTGTACGAGCCGGCCTCGTGGTTTAACCACACACACACACACACACACACACACACACACACACACACACACACACACACACACACACACACACAGATCTGGGTTTTGTTGACTCTTGTTTGGAGGAAGTGGACTTGAGGGACTGTAACGCCGTCGAGGCACACGTTAAAAAAGCCCTTCCTGTGGTGGGGGGATAATTACTGTTGAGGAGAAACCGTTCTGTTGTCGGCCGAGCGGTGCTGTTGAAGCACAACACAGCTGTGGCAGCGTCTCAGACGGCTGCAGCGTCCAGAAATAAGCTCCACTTCCTTTACTTAGCGTAGCTATGGCAACGCGTCAATGATGTTTTTGTTGGTGATAATTTGGAGTTCTGTGGAAATGAGACTGTGCTCACTCCTTTTCCATTTTCTGTACCCCCCCTCACACACCACCACCACCAAAAGGCCTCACCCTGAGTCAGGGGCGGTTCTAGGGGCGGGGCCACGGGAGCATTGGCCCCAGCTGAAATCTGATTGGYCCCATGAAGTGTCCCTGTCCTGTCACTCATYTGTCCTTTACCTGGGAGTGATGATTGCAGTTCCATGTTCAAACACTGGAGGTGCTGATGAGTCAAACAGTAAAGTCCRACATGAATCAATCTGACAGAAATCTTCTCTTCTTAAGAAAATCTGAACAATCCTGCAGGAGAAGTCTTCCAGCTGACAGATGATGCTGTGTTTCAGACAGTTTCATCTGTGCAGAGAAGATGTCTGTGAAACTGGTGAAAATGACTTTACAGGTGTTTGAACACGACTGGTTAAATGTAAGCACTCTGTGTGAAAGGATGCTGAACAAACACTGGCCCCTCGATGGCCCCATGATGGCCCCTCGATGGCCCCTCGATGGTCCCTCGATGGCCCCTCGACGGCCCCTCGATAGCCCCATGATGGCCCCTCGATGGCCCCTCGATGGCCCCATGATGGCCCCTCGTTGGCCCCATGATGGCCCCATGATGGCCCCTCAATGGCCCCTCGATGGCCCCATGATGGCCCCATGATGGCCCCTCAATGGCCCCATGATGGCCCCATGATGGCCCCATGATGGTCCCATGATGGCCCCATGATGGCCNGATGGCCCCATGATGGCCCCATGATGGCCCCTCAATGGCCCCATGATGGCCCCATGATGGCCCCATGATGGTCCCATGATGGCCCCATGATGGCCCCATGATGGCCCCTCGATGGCCCCATGATGGACCCTGGTTGGCCCCATGATGGCCCCATGATGGCCCCTTGATGGCCCCTCGATGTCCACTCAGTGACCCCTTGATGGCCCCTTGAAGGCCCCTCGATGGCCCCTTGATGGCCCCATAATGGCCCCATAATGGCCTCTTGATAGCCCCTTGAAGGCCCCATGATGGCCCCTTGATGGTTCCTCAGTGACCCCATGATGGCCCCTCAGTGGCCCCTTGATGGGCCCTCAATGGCCCTTTGATGGCCCCTTGATAGCCCCATAATGGCTCCTTGATGGCCCCTCAATGGCCCCTTGATGGCCCCTCAGTGGCCCCTCGATGGCCCCATGATGGCCCCTCAGTGACCCCTTGATGGGCCTTCGATGGCCCTTTGATGGCCCCTTGATAGCCCCTCGATGGCCCCACAATGGCCCCTCAGTGGCCCCTTGATGGCCCCTTRTCCAGACYAATTGTAGATCCACCTGTACCCTGAGGTCAGGAGGTCCAGTCTGGACCCATGTGGACCCATATGGACCCATGTGGACCCATGTGGACCCATGTGGACCCATGTGGACCCACGTGGACCCACGTGGACCCACGTGGACCCACGTGGACCCACGTGGACCCACGTGGACCCATGTGGACCCATGTGGACCCATGTGGTCACGGCTGCACTCCTTCCTCTCCTCTGTTTTTCCTCCTCGTCTCTCGGAGCGCTCCACTTTTCTTTTCCTGCTCCTGCCGCTCGCTGCCATGGCAATGGACCGGCTGCTCACGTGGCCCGGCCCGTGTTTGCAGCCAGCTCTCCGCTCCGTGTCATCTACCTGGAGCGGGGGGCACGGCCSCTCCGTGTTACCATAGTTTCTGTGTGCTCTGAGCAGCTGCTGCCAAGTCAGACGCTCTCATCCATCAAGATAAGCAGAAACTCTTCTTCCTTTCTGACCTTCAGAGGCAGAACTGCTGTAAATAAACATGTTTGTGTTTAAGGACCAGAAGAGTCCCTGTCCTGGATCTGCTCTGGGTTTACGGTGGGCTTCACAAACAAAGGTCCKGAACAGAAACAGTGTTTGGATGAGAGCTGACACCTGCTGTTCCTGCAGGTTTCCTCAGGAGGAACTGTCTCTACAGTTTCACACATTTCATCTSTGCTGGCTCAGTCACACCAGACCATTAGACACTCTAACCTACTTTAACTTTTCTCACTGGGACAAACTAAACACAATATATATTTTMATTTTTCTTCCACGTCTCACAGAAACAAACATAAAACTTTACTGTTCAGGTCTGCAGCCTTTTCAAATCAAACAGCATCTCTGACCAGACCTGCAAAATGACRTCGAAGCTTGAAGTAAAGATAAAACAACCCTGTAAAAACACTACATATTAATAATTATCCTTCGTGACATTATGAAAGTAAAGATCTGTATAAATAATTATTTTCACATGTYAGAACAAAGATCAGGGCCGGCCCTAGCCAAYGTGGTGCCCTAGGCAGATTTCAGGTGGAGCCCCCTAAAACACTCTGCCAGGTTACATCCTTTCACAGAAATAATTAAATAGTTTTGTCTTTGATGTTATTTTTATCTTCAGAAACCAGGTTGCCCAATTAAAATAGTTAATAATATAGGGAAATTCCTCCTGGAGAGATCTACTAAAAACTCTGCATTTTCTATCCATTTGACGAGCATTTTCCYAAAATCTTGGGATTAATAAAATAAGATAAAATCAGTAGAAGATTGAAAACCAGACTTTAACCTGAACTTTATCTGAGATCAGAACTGAAATTTCAATTCTTCTTATTTTATTTCCACACTGAGCACCAGTATCATGTGATACTTTTATCATGAAACATCCTCTGCTGCATGTAGCACCTCCTGTAGGAACGAARCACAACAAGTTCATAAACCACAGAAACCTGAGATTATTCTACAGAATGAATCAACTAGACTCAAACAAAAAGTAGAAAAACATAATTTTTATACCGCATTAGTGGCGCCCTCCAGATGGACGGTGCCCTTAGCACTTGCCTACACTGCCTATGCCTCGGGTCGGAGCTGACAGAGATAAAGACCGAACTCTTAAAAAAACATAAAAAGAACCAGTTTTTATTTGTAGACCTCCTTTGAATAAAATCTAAATAATAAACTCTGCAGACTTTGTGAAAAATATTTCTAATTTGAAGCCAGTTGTCGTTTTCCTCACATCTCATTTTTGGTGTATCAGAATAACTTGTCGTGATGCACGTTTTTATTGTTTTCCTGTCATGGTTGTAAATTTAAATACATTTATTTCCTATGTGTCTGCGACCTTCRGCCTTCTGGCCCAGGGTTTTATTACAGAACAGTTAGATAAACACAACCTCAGGTGAACTGACACACAACTTATTACACTGAGTCACAGTGGAGGAAGCAAAAACACAAAGGCAGAAGTAGGATGTAAAAACTAAGTTCAGCAGCTTCCAACAGTGTGAAACTGATCAAACACTTCGATGAACTGATCAGTGGTGSTGTTCTTGTGTAAAAACAGGAGTTTTGTGTTACTGTAACACAATGTCAAGAAGGAAACTCATCAGTAGCGACTTCAGAAAAGAAACTGCTGCTGTTCAACATGTGGGAACGTTGTGAGGTTTTTTCCAAACTATCCATCATTTCTTACTAAAATCATTGAACTCATCCACCAGTCCTTCCAGCAGAGACGGTCCCAGTAGGTTTTCTTTAARGTCAGACTGAACAGTGCTGCAAAATATATTTACAGTATATATATTTCTATTTGAGCCTCACTTAGCAGGTTAGAGGTTAAAGTTTGTTACAAAACAATAAAAAAAAACTGAACAATATGACTTCTTTACCTGCATGGACTCAAAAAAATGTAATGGATTCAATTAAACAGATTGTCAACTGGTTCCACTCGACTGAACTGAGTAAAAGTAATGCATTTACTTTATATTTACTCTAAAAATATGAAGTAAAGGTAAATGCATTTACTTTATATTTACTCTAAAAATGTAAAGTAAAGGTAAATGCATTACATTTCAGTTAATGTAAATTAAACATAACATAAATGTGGTACCTTTAAGTAAATGTAAAGTAAATGTGTTACCTTTAAGTAAATGTGTTACCTTTAAGTAAATGTAAAGTAAATGTGTTACCTTTAAGTAAATGTAAAGTAAATGTGTTAACTTTAAGTAAATGTAAAGTAAATGTGTTACCTTTAAGTAAATGTAAAGTAAACGTACAGTAAATGTGTTACCTTTAAGTAAATGTAAAGTAAACGTAAAGTAAATGTGTTACCTTTAAGTAAATGTAAAGTAAACGTAAAGTAAATGTGTTACCTTTTAAGTAAATGTAAAGTAAACGTAAATGTGTTACCTTTAAGTAAATGTAAAGTAAACATAAAGTAAATGTGTTACCTTTAAGTAAATGTAAAGTAAACGTAAAGAAAATGTGTTACCTTTAAGTAAATGTAAAGTAAATGTGTTACCTTTAAGTAAATGTAAAGTAAACGTAAAGTAAATGTGTTACCTTTAAGTAAATGTAAAGTAAAC